GCTTTTTTTTTTTCTCTCTTTATGAATTCTATTCGCTTTATTCATTTGTGGAGAGGGCCAAAGCATGGGGTACTGTGATTTGCCAACATGTTAATTCCCCGCGAACAATGAACGCTTGCAATATTTTTTAAATTTTGACCCCCCCCCCCCACCTCTCTCTCTTTTTTTAATTTCGTGATTTAAAAAAAAAATTAAGTAACTGGTTGGTGAAAATATAATAGAGTTCAAAATCGAAAACCTGCTTTGTTTTTCGTTCAACATCCTTATTCTGGGAAACCAGCATTCATTTAGTTCTTCCAACGCTGCCTTCAAGCTACGACAGTATGAATTACGTTTACGTATTGTTCAAAAAGATATTTTATTCTAAAGTAGCCTACCAGTAACGAATATGTTATTATTAATTGTAAATGTTACTCTTAGATATGTGCACTGGCTTAGGAAGAGGGGCGACACGCCCGGGGTGGGCGACCTTCATGGGAGTTACGTTAGGCTCAATGCAAAAAAAAAACAAAAACAAAAAAAAACTACAAAAGTAATGTCACCCAAAAATGACGTCACGCAATTAGAAAGCCCCCCCCCCCCCCCGCTATAGCTGAAAGAAACCCTGTCTACCACAGTAGTTTGACATGACATCATAAAAATTTATGGATGGTAGCCTACCACAGTAGTTTGACATGACATCAGACAATATGTTATTCTACCCAGGCCAAGAAATCCTGGCCAATGTCTGCTATATTATATTGTTGTAAGGTTAGCGCAAGCGAGGGGCACCGCCTCGGGAGTCACCAACTACGCAACTGCTGCTGGAGTTGTCTTTCCGTATCCGGAAATTTGATCGAAAGACGATAAATTAGTTGACGAAAAATTGATCGACAGTAATTTGATCGAAAGGAAATTTGGTTGAATCTTTTGTTCAGTTTCTACGTTAAAATTTTGCTTCAAATCTACTCAGTGTCGTAGCTAGGGTACGAGCCACCCGGGGGTAGCGATCGTTTTGTAGCCCCCTTCCTAAAAAAAAGAAATCTGCAGTTGACCTAAAATGCCGCTCCTCCATTATTAGAAAAATTGCCGCCCGGGGCGGACCACCCCTCCGCAACCCCTTCTTACTCCACTGCCCTGTTCCACTGAACTTGGGGACATGCATGTCTATTTACGATCACGGCGTTTGAAAGGTATTCAGGCCAGGGAGATCCTGTTTGCTAGCCAGGCATTGCACTGTTTGTGACATATTCATGAAATAAGCGTAACTTTACACCCAAGTCCGGAAACTTATTTTTGTTCCCAGAAATTCCCAACGAGGATAGGTTTGGGATGAGAGAGTATAGGTATATAAGGAACCCACTGGCAACACTGGGAGAGATCGCCATGCACATCTTCAGTATTGTGTATAGATAACTACTTCACCTAGATTGTGCACTAACTTACAGTTCCTAAACATAAAGTTTGCTCACATCAAGACTACTTTTATTTTGTGAGCACAAATCTACCGATTAGAGATCCAATACTTTGTATTGTTTGCGTTATAAGGAACCACAGTTCTAAAACTGCGCTCTGATTACTTTTACTTATATAAGAACACCTCACTATTAAACATGAGGGAAAAATCAATCGCCGTGAAAGGAGTAAAGGGAGAGATTTGTTACGCCTCCGCTGACGTCACGCCCATCTCTACCATACACGACTCTTCTTTTATCTATGCCAGCCAGAACGACCGACCAAGTTTTCGTAACGGCCAAGAGGTGCTCACCCACAGCATGCCGTCCCGCAGCAACGACTCCGGTGTCGAGGTCAGTCAACAAAGGGCACTATTTGATTGGCTAGTTCCAGATGAACTTATAATCTCGTTCTCATTGAGTACTCTCAATGCAGAATTCTTTGATGATCGGGTGCTCGGTTACTCTGGTCCTAGATGCTATTTGAACAAACAAACAAACAAACCACGGAATCTCGAACTGAGTATATTAGATTGATATCTTATTTTTCATCCTCATGGGATGCCTGACAATCGGTGGTGTAAAAGGTGCGGACGGCCCGGGGCAAATTTTTTTAATATAATTATATCGAGTGGGGGTGGGGGGGGGGGGCATTTTCGGCCAACTGCACGTTTTTTTTTTGGAACGGGGTGCAAAAATCTTGACCCCCCCCTGGTGGCACTAACCCCATCTGCATCACCGGTGACGATGCCAGGGATGGCCAGTTGTTGTGAAGATAATGTTTTAATAAAACTATTCACACTTGTCTACAAAATGCCAACTGAGTTTCCAGTGAAAAGTTGAGGTGTTTGACAGTCGAAGTCTCATCGGGCAAGTGTCTAACTCTTCATGTATGTACCATTGTCATTTATTCCGTTTTATTTGTGTGTTCAGACAGACGAGACACGAGTGTCGCAAGGCCACCCCAATCAAAGGACGCTATCCCATTACAGCTCGGCAGCCCCTGGCAACACACACACACCGGCTGCAACGGGATCCTTGTCGAATCACAGCTCACCAAATATAATAGTTCAGCCAGGAAATTTTTATAGGGTAATTTAAACTTTAAAAAAAAAAAAAGACGTTGATTTAATGGTTGAATACCACAGTTTGTTGTTGTTTTTGTTGTTTTTGTTTTTTTTTTTTTTTTTTCTTTTTCTTGACTGAGTGGACAAGTTCTCGTGTCGTCATCCAAACAATGGAGTTTTAAATTCTTTTCTTGTTTCTGTCAAACTTTGTATACGCCCCCTCAACATTATTTCACGAATGCTCTAAGTGTGTTAGAAACAACATTGAGTCACGAAAACAGTTGTTAAAGGCTATGTTGGACCATATGGTGGTTACCTGTCCTGTACAGCCTCGATTTAGAATTAAAGTGTGGATAGTCATCTTTATCCTTTCGTTTACTTCGTTGTTTTTTTTTTACAGACGGCCACGTTTGCTAACGTACCTGACTATACAGCTCTGAGTATATGTGTTTTACTCTGCCTCTGTCTGCCATTTGGGTTAATTGCCTATATAAAAGCATCAAAAGTAAGTACATTTCTCTTCATTTTTTGTGTGTGGATAAAATAGACAAACTACAATAACCTGTTTAACAAAAATCGTTGATATCGTGAAGTTCTAATGTATGGTAAGGGGGTTCTTGAAATTGTAACAGTTATTGATAAGGAGGAGGGAGGGTGTCAACAATTTCTAAAAAAAATTGTTGACATAATTAATGAGTTCCCCCATAAAGAATTTTTGTTCCATCCAAGTTAAAAAAAATGGCCGCTTGGGGCTATTGATGGCCCTGCACGCTCCCTACTAGATCAGGGCCAAGTCCCACCTAGATCAGGGCCAAGTCCCACCTAGATCAGGGCCAAGTCCCACCTAGATCAGGGCCAAGTCCCACCTAGATCAGGGCCAAGTCCCACCTAGATCAGGGCCAAGTCCCACCTAGATCAGGGCCAAGTCCCACATAGAATTGAACGTTTCCGTACATTCATAGGATTGATAGCTACCAAATTAGGAATTCAAACTATTTTTAAATTAGTCCCGTTCTATCCACAGTCGCGAAATTCGGTGTTTGAGGGAAACCTTGATGTAGCCATGGCTCAAGCCAGAGAGTCAAGAAATTGGAGCATCGCCGGGATTGTGTGTTTTGTGCTTGTAACTGGCATGATTGTAACGGTAGTGTTATCGTATGTCTACATCAAATGAACACTGATCACATCACATTGGGGGGGGGGGGGATTCTTTAAAGAGAACATATTAAAGTCACGATTTCATCGACATATCTGCGTCAGTGAGATCTGCGTCAGTGAGATCTGCGTCAGTGAGATCCACTAAGCAAATATTTGCAGTAGTTTCGAGCAGCATCCGTGTCTTCGTGGATGATGGACGCCTTGCCATTTCCAACGACTGGAGCACCAACACATACATAGTGGATGATGGACGCCTCGCCATTTCCAACGACTGGAGCACCAACACATACATAGTGGATGATGGACGCCTCGCCATTTCAAACGACTGGAGCACCAACACATACATAGTGGATGATGGACGCCTCGCCATTTCCAACGACTGGAGCACCAACACATACATAGTGGATGATGGACGCCTTGCCATTTCAAACGACTGGAGCACCAACACATACATAGTGGATGATGGACGCCTTGCCATTTCAAACGACTGGAGCACCAACACATACATAGTGGATAATGGAGTTGAGCTTCAAAATATTCCCGAAGGGGATGCTGGATCGAAGCAACAAAAACGTTACCCAGTGGATACTGTATTGGAGCAGCAACAAATTTCCCCAGTGGGTACTGGATTAGAGCAACAACAAATTTTCCCAGTGGGTACTGGATTAGAGCAACAACAAATTTCCTTAGTGGATACTGTGATACTGGATTGGAACATCAACGATTGTAAAATCAAATCTTGAGATTGTTTTAGTTTGGGAGGAGGAGGAGTGGGTTGAAATGGCAAGTAAGT